TTTCATGTTGTAGTACTCCGGAAGAGATGGTCTTGCAAAATAAGATTATAACAACCCCCTTCTTTCCCTATAGCACACAGAAAATTGGTCCAGGGGCAAGGTAGGAGTGACACTTATTGGAAGTCACATTCTGAAGAAAGTTCAGCATTTCTTGTTGATGTTTTCCATTACTTAGAAGACAAAGAAAGGAATAAGGGGAACAATTCCCTGTACATGATTCTGAAGCTGATGGTGGGGCTGAGACTGGGAACACAGAGCTAGCCAAGACCATCTTAGGCCAGGTGTGGGTAGACATCTGCTCTCTTGTTGCCTCCTTTTCACTTCACACCCTCCCTGCTGCCTCCCCATGACCCCTACCCCAAGCTTTTGTCCTGTCTCCTCCAGGATTCCTTGTCAGTTCCGGTCTGATGCTGGCACTGTGTAGAACACCTTACCCTTTGGTGCTATTCAGACTCATCCCAGGGATGGTCCTTTGCATCATTCCAGAGGACATTGTTGGCCTCGGTCATGGTAAAGCTGTCTTGGTGTCCTTGTCATCACCAGTGGGCTCTTGTTATAGTTTAGATCTAGAATGTTCCCAAATACTCCTGTGTCCAGATATGGGGCTTTTGGAAAGTGATTGGACCAAGGGGGCACTGCCCTCATCAGTGCACTGGTTGCTGCACTGTCCTCACCCTTGATGAGGTCTTGTGCTGTTTGGAAGTGGGCCTGCTTGGAGCTGGGTCCCTGGGGCGTCACCTGGAATGTATGTCTTTGTCCTGAGCATCTCCTTTCTCTTTGCTTCCTGGCTGCCACAAGGTGAGCAGCTTTCCTCCATGGAAGGTCTTCCGCCATGACACTTCTGCCTTGGAGCCAACCAGCCATGGCTGGAGTCCTCTGAAACCATGAACCCAAACCAAACCTCTCTCTTCCTCTTCCTCTTCCTCTTCCTCTTCCTCTGTCTCTCTTTCTTTTTCTCTTTCTCTCCCTCTCCCCACCTCCCCTTGCTGTGTATTGAATCCAGGACCTTCACACTGAGCCAATCACCCCCACTCCCTTTTTATTTTGAGACAGCCTTACTAAATTGCTAAGTTGGCCAAGTTGGACTCAAACTTGTGATCCTCCTGCCTTGGCCCCAGAGTGCTGAGATTACAGCCTGGCCACCACACCTGGCTTTGTTGCCCCTGTTTTAAAGGCTCCCATCTTTCTCCCCATCGTCCAGTCTCCTCCTTGACAACAAAACAAAACAGAATCTTGAAAAGCAAATTCTTCCTTAAGCCAGGCTCACATGGGGGTATTGTCTACTCATGCTTCAAGACACAGGGTAAATATTATGTTCTTTGAGTCCTTTCCAGAAGCTTAAAGCAGGACAAATTCTTCTGTTTAAGAATCCTTCAGCACTCGGTTCCTCATCAAACACAAATAGTGATCAGCTTAAAGTCTACACAAGGCTCATAGGGCACGGACTCCCATAGGGACTTAGTCTTTAACTACGTTAATAAAAACAGTTCTGCTTTCTGCTGTCCTTCCCCTGCCCCACAGATACAACCTCATTTTACTTTTTCTGTTTAAAATTCATCTAGTGGATTCTTCCAGAACTCTAAATAACATGCTTACTATTTTAAAAAACAATTCAAATTTTTGAAAATGCAGCCAGGACTTCCAATCTAGATATTTTTATATTCTATCCACTTGAGAATTTTTTTATTATTTTACTGATAATTGCCTATTATTTTACTGCTATCATTTTTTGTTTCATTGAAGGTGTTTGCCTTTACCTTTTGTTTCATATTTTTCATTTTTTAAAATAAGAGTGTTTTTTCTTTCTAGGAAATGATTTCAATTTATATATTTAGTAATGTGTTCTTTTAAATTATTTGATGTTCTTTTTAATAGCCTAATATTTTTATCTTATTGGTGCAGTTTCTTCTTGTAAGCTGATTAGATTTGTGTGTGTGTGTGTGCATGCATGTGTGTCTTCTGCTGTGATTTTCTGACACACTTGTGCTTCCTGGGAAGTTATTATTCCCTCTGTAGTGTCACTTTCAAGGCATTGGTTCCTTAGATGTCTGAACCTTCTGGTTGTGCTTTCATAGGATGAAAGGCCAGGCTCCTGCCTGCCCGGGGACAGTTTACTCTGCCCTTGATGGGAGGCCTAGATCTTCCTTGGGTATCTAGCTGGACTGGAGATCTGGTGGGAACTTTCTGTCAGTGGGCCAGCTTCTGCTGCCTATGGCTATAGTAGTAATAAGTCAGCCATCAGATTGGGCTTCCCCACTCAAGTGTGAGGATGAGGACAGCGTGGTGCTGGAACACATGAATGCTCTCAGTCTTAGTCCTCCCTGAAGATTTTTTTTTGTTTTACCTGTTTATTCTAGATATTTGCTCCTGGGCGTGTACAGAGCACATATCTTAAGCAACTGCACATAACTTGATGACAAAACATCCTTCCTCTGATTTGCTGTAATGGCTCCTGATTACTGCTGCATGAACTGGTAGCATCCTTAGAAATAACCCACTTCCATAACACCTACACAAGACAGGAAAAACAAGGCATGCTGGGTCACTGTTTGGACCAAGCCCTGCTTTACTTGTTTGATCTGGACTGCTTTTAGTGATGGAGTTTCTTCTTCTTCTTTTTTTTTTTTTTTTTTTTTTTTTTTTTTTTTTT